AGTACCATTGTAAACCCACTAGAGGTCGGTCTCACACTTAACAAAGCAAAACTACCTGATCAGGGGGCAGATTTGTTTAAGATTGTAAAGCACTTTGGCTGCTGAAGTAACTCCCCAATAAGCAAACAGTTAGAAATCAGTTCCAATAGACTGGAAGAACACAATGGAAAACGTTTCTTTAGATAATATGAGACACTTTCAAACCTATAAATACAAAGTGCACTGTCTTCATTAGTAATATAATATCACAATAACTTCACATTGACATAGCTATGACTCTCCCGTTAAACAAAAACAACAATCACTGCATTTGTATAATCTACAATAGTTGCCCTTCTCAAGCCAATATTCAAGTATTAATTGGTTGATAACCATGATGAATACCTTCAGGCTCTGATCAGTCCCTACACCCAAACGAGGGCATTGCGTTCATCCACCTCTGGCCTGCTGGCCCCCCTACCTCTGCGGAAGCACAGTTCCCGCTCAGCCCAGTCAAAGCTACTTGCTGCTCTGGCACCCCAATGGTGGAACAAGCTCCCCCACGACGCCAGGACAGCGGAGTCACTCACCACCTTCCGGAGACACTTGAAACCCCACCTCTTAAAGGAATACCTGGAATAGGATAAAGTAATCCTTCTACCCCCCCTTACCCCACCCCAAAGAAAGAAAAAAAATAATAATATTGTAAAGTGGTTATCCCACTGGCTATAAGGTGAATGCACCAATTTGTAAGTCGCTCTGGATAAGAGCGTCTGCCAAATGACGTAAATGTAAATGTAAATGTAATGAATGTAACTAACACAATATAAACAGTGAAAGATTCATCAGAGCTTTCCAATATGTGTGTTATTATGGACTGCAGTAATAGAGAGAGGATGTGTTGTGGTCTTTAAAACTCTTCTATCCCCCTCCATCCATCCATCCATTGATCCAATGACTAGACCAACTGTACTGACAACACTGAGCTAGTATATCTCTGTAGTATTTATTTCACTCTTTTCCTAGTCCATCTGTTTGAAACTTTATTTAATAATTTTTTTTGTTTTTGTCATTTTGGATTTCTTTTGTAGAATATATTTATCCAATATTTATCTGATTCTTCTGATTATTGCTCTGTTCCCCAATGTGCTACATGTGTTTCTCTAGCTTAAATATGTCCTGCAGTTATTTTTGAACTATTCTTGCTGAAGAGCGATATCCCAAGTATAAATACAGTATAGTACACACACTAAAGGGTAAAAAAATTATGGCAAATGGGCTTCATGATTCACATAAACGCAACTGAAACCCGCAGTTCTCTTTCTCTTCATGCAGGGGCAGCCAAGTCATTCATTCAGATTCAAGTGATATAATATACATTCAAATGGAGGCCATCTGTTTCCTGCGGAACAATGATGGGCCATTCAGATCCTGAAGGATTAATTTACTCCTGTGACAAGAGGGGTCACATTAAGATGCCAGATCTGTATTACCAATCAAATGAGAATTAAAATAAATAAAAACAACTTTTCTCTTTTACTTTTATTCTTAATATTTATTGATCAAAGACATCCTCCTGGACTTTTTATTGACAAAGAAAAAAATCAGTTTTATTCAAATAAGAATGGTTTATTTGATACAGGGATTAGCAAATAATATATTGAAATGTAATATAAGTGGGCTAACAGTGTTTAGGGACTAGGCCTTTGTCCTCTTAGATTTCCACCTGAGATGTGGCTGAGTATGACTATCTGGTGACATCAGGCTGTAGAGATGACAGAGACACAGGTCTCTGAACAAACCTATCCATTGCCATGAATCCCCATTGAAAACAGTCACAGAAACCAATAATTTTAACAAACCCATTAAGAGAGCTGAGGCACAATCTTAACAACATTCATCTGTGATTATCTTGGTGTACACTACGAGTCAAAAACTCATTTAAGAGTTTTTCTTTATTTTTACTATCTTTTACATTGTAGAATAATAGTGAAAACATCAAAACTATGAAATAACACATATGGAATCATGTAGTAAACAAAAAAGTGTTAAACAAATCAAAATATATATTATATTTGAGATTCTTCAAATAGCCACCCTTTGCCTTGATGACAGCTTTGCACATTCTTGGCATTCTCTCAACCAGCTTCACCTGGAATGCTTTTCCAACAGTCTTGAAGGAGTTCCCACATATGCTGAGCACTTGTTGGCTGTTTTTCCTTCACTCTGCGGTCCAACTCATTCCAAACCATCTCTATTGGGTTGAGGTCGGGGGATTGTGGAGGCCAGGTCATCTGATGCAGCACTCCATCACTCTCCTTCTTGGTAAAATAGCCCTTACACACCCTGGAGGTGTGTTGGGTCATTGTCCTGTTGAAAAACAAATGATAGTCCCACTAAGCACACAACAGATGGGATGGCGTATCGCTGCAGAATACTGTGGTAGCCATGCTGGTTAAGTGTGCCTTGAATTCTAAATAAATCACAGACAGTGTCACCAGCAAAGCACCCCCACATAATAACACCTCCTCCTCCATGCTTTATGGTGGGAACTACACATGTGGAGATCATCCGTTCACCCACACCATGTCTCACAAAGACACAGCGGTTGGAACCAAAAATCTCAAATTTGGACTCCAGACCAAAGGACAAATTTCCACCGGTCTAATGTCCATTGTTCGTGTTTCTTGGCCCAATCAAGTCTCTTCTTATTATTGGTGTCCTTTAGTAGTGGTTTCTTTGCAGCAATTCGACCATGAAGGCCTGATTCACACAGTCTCCTCTGAACAGTTGATGTTAAGATGTGTCTGTTACTTGAACTCTGTGAAGCATTTATTTGGGCTGCAATTTCTGAGGATGGTAACTCTAATTAACTCATCCTCTGCAGCAGAGGTAACTCTGGGTCTTCCATTCCTGTGGCGGTCCTCATGAGAGCCAGTTTCATCATAGCACTTGATGGTTTTTGCGACTGCACTTGAAGAAACTTTCAAAGTTCTTGAAATGTTCCGTATTGACTGACCTTCATTTCTTAAAGTAATGATGGACTGTTGTTTCTCTTTGCTTATTTGAGCTGTTCTTGCCATAATATGGACTTGGTATTTTACCAAATAGGGCTATCTTCTGTATACCTCCCCTACCTTGTCACAACACAACTGATTGGCTCAAACGCATTAAGAAGAAAATAAATTCCACAAATTAACTTTTAAGAAGGCACACCTGTTAATTGAAATGCATTCCAGGTGACTACCTCATGAAGCTGGTTGAGAGAATGCCAAGAGTGTGCAAAGCTGTCATCAAGGCAAAGGGTGGCTATTTGAAGAATCTCAAATATAAAATATATTTTGACTTATTTAACACTTTTTTGGTTACTACATGATTCCATATGGTTTATCTCATAGTTTTGATGCCTTCACTATTATTCTACAATGTCGAAAATAGTATAATTAAAGAAAATCCCCTGGAATGAGTAGGTGTGTACAAACTTTTGACTGGTACTGTATCTGAGCTCTACAAGAAATAGAAATAAAGTTTCTGATCATTACATCAAATCAAATCAAATGTTATTTGTCACATACACGTGTTTAGCAGATGTTATTGCAGGTGTAGCGAAATGCTTTTGCTTCCAGCTCCGACAGTGCAGTTATATCTAACAGGTAATATCCAACAATTTCACAACATATACCCAATACCCACAAATCTAAGTAAGGAATGGAATTAACAATATATACATATATGGACGAGCAATGACAGAGCGGCATGGATTAAGCTACAGTAGAATATTACAGAATACAGTATATACATATGAGATGAGTAGTGCAAGATTAGTAAACATTATTAAAATGACTAGTGTTCAATTTTTTTAAGTGGCCAGTGATTTCAATAGGCAGCAGCAGCCTCTAATGTGCTATTGATGGCTATTTAACAGTCAGATGGCCTTTAGATAGAATATGTTTTTCATTCTCTTGGTCCCAGCTTTGATGCACCTGTACTGACCTCGCCTTCTGGATGATAGCGGGGTAAACAGGCAGTGGCTCGGGTGGTTGATGTCCTTGATTATCTTTTTGGCCTTCCTGTGTCATCGGCATGTAGGTGTCCTGGAGGGCGGGTAGTTTGCCCCCAGTAATGTGTTGGGCAGACCGCACCACCCTCTGGAGAGCCCTGCGGTTGCGGGCAGTGCAGTTGCCATACCAGGCAGTGATACAGCCCGACAGGATGCTCTCAATTGTGCATCTGTAAATGTTTGTGAGGGTTTTAGGTGCCAAGCCAAATTTCTTTAGCCTCCTGAGGTTGAAGAGGCTCTGTTGCGCCTTCTTCACAACAATGTCGGCGTGGGTGGACCATTTCAGTTTTTCAGTGATGTGTACGCCAAGGAACTTGAAGCTTTCCACCTTCTCCACTGCGGTCCAATCGATTTGGATAGGGGGGTGCATCCTCTGCTGTTTCCTGAAGTCCACGATCATCTCCTTTGTTTTGTTGACGTTGAGTGAGAGGTTATTTTCCTGGCACCACACTCCCAGAGCCCTCAGCTCCTCCCTGTAGGTTGTCTCGTCATTGTTGGTAATCAAGCCTACTTGTGTCGTCTGCAAACTTGATGATTGAGTTGGAGGCGTACTTGGCCACGCAGTCATGGGTGAACAGGGAGTACAGGAAGGGGCTGAGCACGCACCCTTGTGGTGCCCCAGTGTTGAGGATCAGCGAAGTGGAGGTGTTGTTTCCTACCTTCACCACCTGGGGGCGGCCCATCAGGAAGTCCAGGACCCAGTTACACAGGGCTGGGTTCAATCACATTAACAAATGGTTAATCATAAACCACAACACTAAGCTCTCTGAAAAGGGTCTAATACCCTTCCCCACCACCACCACTTTCAAAACGCACACGCACACTCATACAAACACACGCACGCACACACACACACACTTCATTGTTCTGACTTCACTGTCAGAGACACCTTTGATTGGCAGATCTGTATATCACGGTTGTCCGCATCACCAGCCTTTCCATTAGAGAAGTAGGGATACAGTTTCTCAGTAAATGTGTGTTTATGAGTGTAGATGTGTGTCATGTCTTCGTGATCGTAGAAGGACACCTCCCCACTGTCGTAGTCCAGCTGCACTCTGATCCTCTGGGGACTCCTCTCCAGAGAAAGAGTCTTACCTCCTGCATTATACTCATGATCCCTCAGCTGTATATCCCAGACTCCATACCCTGGGGTTACAAATGCCTTCCCCTTCCTTTTGATTGACTCTTCGGCCACACCTATATACCAGTGAGGGTGGTCCCCCACCTCCACCTCCCAGCTGTGCTTTCCTGAGCTGAACCCCTTAGAGCCCAGAACCTGGGCATGCTCTGTGTTCCTCTCTGGGTTGTCAGGGAGATGCTGCTTTTTGCCTAAATGTCTCACCCTAGTCAGACCATCAGACAGATATAGCCTACATTCAGCAGTGTTGGGGTCCAGAATCACAGGAGTGTACTTGACGATCCCTTGCATCTTCTCCCAGACTCTGAACTGCAGGTTGCCCAGGTGATTGGCCACGTCTATCAGCGCTCCTGAGACCAGTTGTGGATCTGGCAGTGTGCACTGGGCTCTGGAGCTTGTCTGGGTGTGTTTGTAGCTCTTGAGAAATGGCACATCCTGTTTCTGCAGCTCATGTTTCATAGCAGTGATGCTTTCTGTGAGAGAAGTGATCTGGTCCTGAATGTTCTTCATCTCTCTGGCGATCATCTTCCCCTTTTCCTCCTCTTCCTCCCTCAGTGCAGCCAGTCTGGCCTCCTCTTCCTCTCTCAGGAACTGGTGAAGCTTCTCAAACTCCCCCCTGATCTGTCTCTCTGTCGCTCCCAGCTGCTTCTTGGAGTATTGCACTATTTCATTGTATGTCTCCTCTATGTCTTCAAATTTGGTTCGCTTGTTCTGCAGTGACTCTAAATCAGATGTTATTTTTTCCTTCAGGTCTTTCACTGCCTGTTGTAAGGGAATGACTGTGTGTCCGTGACCATCAGGAAACTCACATTCGTGACAAACAGCTCTCTGCTCCACCTCACAGAACCACTTAGGTTCATCTGTATGTTTACTACAAATGATCTCTCTGTCATCCTTTGGATCACTATCATTCCTCCGTTCCCTGGACACCCCTGCTTTCTCTCTCCTTGCATGCGAGTCAGCTAGCTCTTTCAGTGAATAGTTAATTCCTAAGCCCTTAGAAGATTTCCTCTTACAAACCGGACAGTTCTTGTTTTTATTCTGATCCCAGAAATTGTCCAGGCAGCTGGAACAGAAGCTGTGGTTGCAGCCGAGAGAAACAGGCTCTCTGAAAGTCTCTGAACAAATATGACAGCACAGGAAACGATCTAGTAGTGATCTGTCTGCCATTTTCTCTGTCACAGTGCTGGTAGTATCCTAGTGTCCTTCGATTTGCAAAGAAAATCCTTCCTATGCACGTCTCATTAGAAAATACACTTTACTTTATTTTACTTTTTTACTAAATAAAGTCTGATAATAAGTAAGATAAATAAATAAATGTGGCTATTCTAGTTGTTCAGGGGACTTCTTTCTGTAATGTTCACACCCTGAATGGCGTCTATGTTCTGTTAAGCCCTCTTTCGATATCAAATATTAACTTTCAATTTTACTTACTTTGATGATAGGTCAGCATTCATATAAATCCCAGCAGCTGATTTTTATTGGTATATGGTCACACAGACCTTTGTCATGCTTTGATAAATCATTAGCTAAGAAATAATGCCAGTGAAACAACAGTTTTGGGGCATTACTTCGTCATTTGAACCATATTGATAACAAACCTGCAAAACACTCTTAGCCTGGCAAGCCAAAACGGAATATCGTGCTGTTTCTCTATTGTTTCAATATTGTTTAACTTCACTGATTCAGTTACATTCAGTGTGAATTACAGACTAAAATACTCTTACAAGCTTTGGCCAATGACAGTATGAGTCTCTAACTTAAAAGAGCTGTGTTCTTTCTGTGTTGTGTTTCATGGGTTCAGTTGGTCATTTTTCAGATAGATGGGAAAATAATTCATTCCATATCACTGAGTCCTCACTCCAACACATATACCGTGAGGGAAAAAAGTATTTGATCCCCTGCTGATTTTGTACGTTTGCCCACTGACAAAGAAATTATCAGTCTATAATTTTAATTGTAGGTTTATTTGAACAGTGAGAGACAGAATAACAACAAAAAAATCCAGAAAAACGGGATGAGATTAGGAGCACACTCTTAAAGGGAGTGCTCCTAATCTCAGCTTGTTACCTGTATAAAAGACACCTGTCCACAGAAGCAATCAATCAATCAGATTCCAAACTCTCCACCATGGCCAAGACCAAAGAGCTCTCCAAGGATGTCAGGGACAAGATTGTAGACCTACACAAGGCTGGAATGGGCTACAAGACCTTCGCCAAGCAGCTTGGTGAGAAGGTGACAACAGTTGGTGCGATTATTTGCAAATGGAAGAAACACAAAATAACTGTCAATCTCCCGCGGCCTGGGGCTCCATGCAAGATCTCACCTCGTGGAGTTGCAATGATCATGAGAACGGTGAGGAATCAGCCCAGAACTACACAGGAGGATCTTGTCAATGATCTCAAGGCAGCTGGGACCATAGTCACCAAGAAAACAATTGGTAACACATTACGCCATGAAGGACTGAAATCCTGCAGCGCCCGCAATGTCCCCCTGCTCAAGAAAGCACATATACAGGCCCGTCTGAAGTTTGCCAATGAACATCTGAATGATTCAGAGAAGAACTGGGTGAAAGCGTTGTGGTCAGATGAGACCAAAATCGAGCTCTTTGGCATCAACTCAACTCGCCGTGTTTGGAGGAGGAGGAATGCTGCCTATGACCCCAAGAACAACATCCCCACCGTCAAACATGGAGGTGGAAACATTATGCTTTGGGGGTGTTTTTCTGCTAAGGGGACAGGACAACTTCACCGCATCAAAGGGACGATGGACAGGGCCATGTACCGTCAAATCTTGGTTGAGAACCTCCTTCCCTCAGCCAGGGCATTGAAAATGGGTCTTTGATGGGTATTTCAGCATGACAATGACACAAAACACACGGCCAAGGCAACAAAGGAGTGGCTCAAGAAGAAGCACATTAAGGTTCTGGAGTGGCCTAGCCAGTCTCCAGACCTTAATCCCATAGAAAATCTGTGGAGGGAGCTGAAGGTTCGAGTTGCCAAACATCAGCCTCAAAACCTTAATGACTTGGAGAAGATCTGCAAAGAGGAGTGGGACAAAATCCCTCCTGAGATGTGTGCAAACCTGGTGGCCAACTACAAGAAACGTCTGACCTCTGTGATTGCCAACAAGGGTTTTGCGACCAAGTACTTAGTCATGTTTTGCAGAGGGGTCAAATACTTATTTCCCTCATTTAAAATGCAAATAAATTTCTAACATTTTTGACATCATGTCTTTGTCAGTGGGCAAACATACAAAATCAGCATGGGATCAAATACTTTTTTCCCTCACTGTAGCTGCCTGTAATATAACAGCAATAAACCAAAGTCCCACATAATTGCCTCCAATTACCCTCGGTAATACCAGTATCCTATGAGTAATAACAATATATCAGACAGGACTTTTGGTGTTATCTTTTCTATTAACTAGCATCTTAGCTGGCATTTCTTTGCCTGATAGTCAACAGGACACTAGTTTTGGTGTTAACCCTGATTTGTTATTGTTGTTTACTAAACCTTTCTCAATCTATTTCCTGAGCGTTTTAAGTGTATACAACTACTTTTCTCTTGAGATGATATATCGAAGATAGATGATAATGATAAGGCTGACTATGATGATGATTATGATACATTTTATATAACAATGATGATGGTTATATAATGATGATGATTAGGATGATGATGAATATGTAACAATTATGATTCTACCGCATGTTTTTATATGGGTCTCAATGTTGTCAATGCAGAGTAAATCACTTTTGACATACAGTAGAGAGAGGATCACCTCTTAACCATAAGAAGCTCCAGTGACTCCTGCTCTACTTAACTTGCATGTCACTTTGGGGGAAAACCACTTAAGTCAGATGTTAACCTAGTCATGCATTGATGTCAATGGGAGACTAAGTGGAAATCTGACTGAAGTGGAAGTTAGGATTCACCCACAGAGAAATAGAGATATTATCTTTATATATGTCCCATTATTGCGTCTGTGCTAAATGGCATATTATTTATTATTATATGGCGTCTGTGAGAAAACGGGCAGCGCCATTGAGACAATCTCCTTTGATGTAGTATATTCTCTTCTTCTACTACTTCTATCAGTTGGCAAACAAACTGAAAGGGTGCATACTGCCTGCCACCTAGAGTGTGTTTTATGAACAGGTATAAAGCCAAGGTTGGGTAATTACTGCCACCTACTGTTATGGAATGTTTGCTCACAAGTATAATTCATTGGCTGATCCCTCCTGATGACCCGGATGGAGTCATGTCATCGATCCATCCTTAACCCGTACGAAGTCCCACACACTTGACTACTTTAAAATTATGAAAGCCCTCGATTGCAATGGCAATTCCAAAATGGGTTTTATCCATCTAGAGTCCTCTATTTAACTCTATGGATTCACCCCTTTGAGAGGAACAGCACTCAAAACTTGCTCAACGGTATGTATAAAGAACACCTGCAGTTCCATTGTAACCCCATTAGAGAGCACTCTCACATATAATAAAGCACAACTAGCTGATAAGAGGGCAGATTTGTCTGAGATTGTAAAGCGCTGTGGCTGCTCAACTCCCTAATAGATAAACTGTTAGTAATCAGTTCCAATAGACTTTAGAGGGAAGAACACAATAGACTTTGTTTCTTAAGAAAATATGAGAAACTTTCAAACCTATGAATACAGGGTGCACTGTCTACGTATGTAATATAATATTTCAGCATTTTCACATTGACATAGCTTTGACTTTCCCATTACTGTTATCTAACAAAAAACAATCACCTGCGTTTTGATTAGCTACAATAGTTGTGCTTCTCAAGGCTTTTCCCAGCGACTGCAAGCTTCTACCAGTGTACTAGTCAGTTGATAAAGTATAACTAACAGTGCAAACAGTGACAGATTCATCAAAGCTTCAGAGTCGACAATGGAGACTTCGAGGCATACGCATGAGTTCATCAGTGTGTGTTTGAGATAGAGTCTGACACGAGAAGAAGAATGCTTTGATGATTGGTTTAGTCATTTTTTGCGCACAAAACAAAAATATTTTGAACCAATTGCTTAATCAGCATTATTCTGTGAGTTGAGTGGACTTCAGAAGGACAAGAAATTGAGCTAATGTTGTCACGCTCGTTTACAGACTGGTCGAACCAAGGCGCAGCGTGATATGCATACATGTTTATTTGAAACGAATAAACAACGACAAAACAACAAACGAAACAAGAAGTCCAAGGTAGCATACAAACAACATACCTCACACGGAACAAGATCCCACAACCCACTAGTGCCAATAGGCTGCCTAAGTATGGTCCCCAATCAGAGACAATGAACGACAGCTGCCTCTGATTGGGAACCACACCGGCCAACATAGAACCATACATACTAGATCGTACAACCTAGAACATACACAACAAAGAATATACACACCCTGACTCAACATATAAGAGTCCCCTGGAGCCGCTGACCGGAGCTGGATCAGGCACCAGTGGAGCGGACTGCTCTGGCTCCGGAGTGGAGCCGCTGACCGGAGCTGGACTGGACCCCGGTGGGGCGGCCTGCTCTGGCTCCGGAGTGGCACAGCTGACCGGAGCTGGATCAGGCACCGGTGGAGTGGACTGCTCTGGCTCCGGAGTGGAACAGCTGACCGGAACTAGATCAGGCACCGGTGGAACGGGCACGGGCCATGCCGGACTGAACAAACGCACCACTGGTCTGGTGCGAGGAGCAGGCACGGGCCGGACCTGACTAGGAATACGCACCACTGGCTTGGTGCGAGGGGCAGGAACAGGCCGGGCCGGACTGGCGACGCGCACCACTGGTTTGGTGCGAGGAGCAGGAACAGGCCGGGCCGGGCTGGCGACGCGCACCACTGGCTTGGTGCGAGGAGCAGGAACAGGCCGGGCCGAGCTGGCGACGCGCACCACTGCTTAGTGCGAGGAGCAGGATTAGGCCGGGCCGGGCTGGCGACGCGCACCACTGGCTTGGTGCGAGGAGCAGGAACAGGCCGGGCCGGGCTGGCGACGCGCACCACTGGCTTGGTGCGAGGAGCAGGAACAGGCCGGGCCGAGCTGGCGACGCGCACCACTGGCTTGGTGCGAGGAGCAGGAACAGGCCGGGCCGGCGACGCGCACCACTGGCTTGGTGCGGGGAGCAGGAACGGGCCGGACCGGACTGGCGACACGCACCACTTGCTTGGTGCGAGGAGCAGGACTGGGTTCCTTTATTAACCCCCGCTCCTTCTGCTGCCTAACCAGCTCCTCTCGCCGTGCCTCTACACCTTCCTTCTCCCTTCTAGCCTCCTGTAGCGCCTCCCTCTGACCGAATACCTCCTGCTCCCTCTGAACCAATAGCCCCCGTAATATGGTGGCCTCCTAACCAGCAGATCCGCCCTGTCGCGGCCTCCTGCTGCCTCGTCGTCCACACCGTGTGCCCCCCAAAAAAATTTGTTGGGGTTGCCTCTCCACCCTGATCCCTTTCAGGGCCTCCATCTTTCTTGCCAGATCCTCTCTTATCTCCTGCCAAGTCCATCCTCTCTGCTCCTCCTCGGCACACTGCTTGGTCCAGGTCTGGTGGGAACTTTTGTCACGCTCGTTTACAGACTGGTCGAACCAAGGCGCAGCATGATATGCATACATGTTTATTTGAAACGAATAAACAACAACAAAACAACAAACTAAACGAAACGTGAAGTCCAAGGTACACAAACAACATACCTCACACGGAACAAGATCACACAACCCACTAGTGCCAATAGGCTGCCTAAGTATTGTCCCCAATCAGAGACAACGAACGACAGCTGCCTCTGATTGGGAACCACACCGGCCAACATAGAACCATACATACTAGATCGTACAACCTAGAACATACACAACAAAGAATATACACACCCTGACTCAACATATAAGAGTCCCCTGAGTCAGGGCGTGACAAATGTGTGAATGTTTGTTCACTCAATAAAACATTTGCTCACAGTGAGCTGAATGTATAGAAACTTGAGTCAAATTACAAATTCATGTTTGCCTTTGGAATGCAACACTGTACTGTTTGTTGGGCCAGCTATAATCCCAAATGTTGACCAAACTGACAATCCTATTGCAGCTGGTTGCCTAACAATTGTATGTTGAATCAACAAACTCTGTTCGAAGTGAGCTGAAGTTGAACAAGCTTGTTGAGTCAAATTACAAATGTATGATTATCATATTTCCCAGCATGATCTGTTGCAGGTTGATTTTCAGAATTGTTTCTTTCAGTACCTGGGTTTTTGCATGTACATTGATTGGTTGATTAATATCTTATGCTACACAAACATAAATAACATTTTTGTAAACTATTCCAATCTGTTAGTAGTTGGACTTTTTGCACCCATTACTGAGATGGCTGTTCCAGTTTAAATTATTTAGGTAGTCTCAATAATCAATCTTTTCTAACCTGGCAGTCATTCTCAATGCAGATTGCGGGTGATTAAAAGTTTCAATTGGGGGGCCCTTCAGGGGTTGTGTTTAGTCCTCTCCTCACCCATGACTGCATGGTCACGCACAACTCCAACACCATCATCGTTTGCTGACAACACGATGGTGGTAGGCATCCTCAATGACAGCGATGAGACAGCTTAAAGGGAGGAGGTCAGAGACTTAGCAGTGGGTAGTGAAGGGGAAACGAAGCTTCCTGAAGCAGTGAGCATTTCAAACCATTTGTGTCGAAAAGTAGACTAGTGGCACCTGCTGATCAAAATCATTTAGAACAGCCAAATTATTATAGATGACGCAGGGTAGCCTTTTTGTCTTCTACTGAAACCAATACCAAACCTATCAGGTGGTTGTTCGACAAAAAACAAAGCTTCGGACGTCATTGATCATGCGCTTCTGATAAAGTGATGCAAGCATCTGCACACTGATTCAAAGTAAACTGCTTAGCAATTTCGACGCATGCCTCGGAGCTCCGGTATCAAACATAACATCACTAGCAGTGGGGTGCCAGGACAACAGTCTCTCCCTTAACGTCAGTAAGAACAAGGAGCTAATTGTGGACTACAGAAGAAAGAGGGGAGAGCACACCATCATCCACATTGACGGGGCTGTAGTGGAGCGGTTTGAGAGCTTCAAGTTCCTTGGCGTCCACATCACTAAGGACTAAACATAGTCCACACACACCCACACAGTCATGAAGAGGGCACGACAGCGCCTCTTCCCCCTCAGGAGGGAGATTTGTCATGGGCCCTCAGATCCTCAAAAAGTTTGACAGCTGCACCATTGAGAGGATCTTGACTGGCTGCATCACCGCTTGGTATGGCAAATGCACCGCCCTTGACCGCAAAGTGCTACAGAGGGTGGTGCGTTCAGCCCAGTACATCACGGGGCCAGCTCCCTGCCATCCAGGACCTCTATATCAGGTGGCAGAGGAAGGCCCGAGAAATTGTCAAAGACTCCAGCCACCCAAGCCATAGACTGTTCACTCTGCCACCATCTGGCAAATGGTACCGACGTATGTGAGTGCTAAATAGTTCATTAAATGGTTACCCAGACTATCTGCATTGACCATATCTTGCACTGACTCTATGCACACTCACAAGACTATATACGCACTTTATACCCACTCACGCACGCACAGACACTACACTGACACTCTTACACAAAACCCACACACATAACACACACACAGACCAACACAACACAAACACACATATACACACACTTTTCCACTCATCATATTCTGCTGCTACTCTGTATTTTTATTTTTATTATTATTTGTTAAACTGCATAATTGGGAAGGGCTTGTAAGCAACCATTTCACGGTAAAGTCTACACCCATTGTTTTCGGCGCATGTGACAAATAAGATTTGATTTGATTTGATATCCTTACTCTGGCTGGATTCCAAACCAGCATATTGTGACTTGCAGGCTTGATGTGGCCTGTAAACCAGGAGTTTCAGATTACAGTATGTAATGTTTTAAGTAAAATATATTATTATTATGATTATTACTATTACACAATTGAACATGTATATGTAATTTGTACAATAAAAATTCTTGATGCCAGTGGTTTCTAGAGTTGAAGGAAAATATTTGTGTTTATTCTCTATCTTGTTAAAGGAAAACTCCACCCAAAAACTATATGTTGGTATTTGTTGGACTATCATTAGTCCATCATCAGTTCATTGTTGACATAGTAGCAAAATGTTTTGCTTGTCAGCAATGACGTTTTCAAGATACACTACATGACCAAAAGTATGTGGACCCCTGCTCGTCGAACATCTCATTCCAAAATCATAGGGCATTAAAATGGAGTTGGTCCCCCTTTGCTGCTATAACAGCCTCCACTCTTCCGGGAATGCTTTTCACAAGACGTTGGAACATTGCTGCGGGGACTTGCTTCCATTTAGCCACAAGAGCATTAGTGAGGTTGGGCACTGATGTGGGCGATTAGGCCTGGCTTGCAGTCGGCGTTCCAATTCATCCCAAAGGTGTTCGATGGTGTTGAGGTCAGGGCTCTGTGCAGGCCAGTCAAGTTCTTCCACACTGATCTCGACCAACCATTTCTGTATGGACCTCGCTTTGTGCATGGGTGCATTGTCATGCTGAAACAGGAAAGGGCCTTCCCCAAACTGTTGCCACAAAGTTGGAAGCACAGAATTGTCTAGAATGTCATTGTATGCTGTAGCATTAAGATTTCCCTTTACTGGAAGTAAGGGGCCTAGCCCGAACCATGAAAAACAGCCCCAGACCATTATTCCTCCTTCACCAAACATTATAGTTGGCACTATGCATTGGGGCAGGTAGCGCTCTCCTGTTATCCACCAAACCCAGATTCGTCCGTCGGACTGCCAGATGGTGAAGCATGATTCATCACTTCAGAGAACGCGTTTCCACTGCTCCAGAGTCCAATAGTGGCGAGCTTTACACAACTCCAGCCGATGCTTGGCATTGCGAATTGTGATCTTAGGCTTGTGTGCGGCTGTTCGGCCATGGAAACCCATTTCATGAAGCTCCCGACGAACAGTTCTTATGCTGACATTGCTTCCAGAGGCAGTTTGGAACTCGGTAGTGGGTGTTGCAACCGAGGACAGACGATTTTTACGCACTATGTGCTTCAGCACTCGGCGGTCACATTCTGTGAGCTTGTGTGGCCTACCACTTCATAGCTGAGCCATTGTTGCTCCTAGACGTTTCCACTTCACAATAACAGCACTTACAGTTGACCGGGGCAGCTCTAGCAAGGCAGAAATTTGACAAACTGACTTGTTGGAAAGGTTGCATCCAATGACGGTGTCACGTTGAAAGTCACTGAGCTCTTCAGTACGAGCCATTCTACTGCCAATGTTTGCCAATGGAGATTGCACGGCTGTGTGCTCAATTTTATACACCTGTCAGCAACGGGTGTGGCTGAAATAGCCAAATCCACTAATTTGAAGGCGTGTCCACATACTATACACATGTAGTGTATAGTTTATGTAACTTTGAAAGTACAGAAATGATCCCTGTGTGATGCATTCTGAACAGTACATACAGTCTCTTGAAAACTGGATTGCTGACAAGCAGTGCAATAAACACACCGAGAGAGCTGTGGTACAACCCTAAGTTAAACTGTAGTTCAATCTGTCAAACCTAAATATATTCTACAAGAAACAGAATTAATAATGAACAATCCCTTTCATTATCAAATGATTTATCTTAAACCAAAACACAAAGCTCTCTCACATGGGTCTACTACCCTTCCCCACTACCACCCCCTCCTAAACATACAGTATACACCTCACTGGAAGGACTTCACTGTCAGAGACACCTCTGATTGGCAGATCTGTATATCAGGATGGATGGCATCACCAGCCTTTCCATTAGAGAAGTATGGGTATAGTTTCTCAGTAAATGTATCATTGTAAGTGTGTATGTGTGTCATGTCTTTGGAGTCATAGAAGGATACCTTCCCCCTGTCGTAGTCCAGCTGTACTTTGATCCCCCGGGGTCTCCTCTTCAGAGTGAGAGTCTTATCTCCTGCATTGTATTTAGCACTCTTCAGCTTTATAGCCCAGTATCCATACTCTGGGGTTACAGATGCTTCCCCCTTCCTGTTAATTGACTCTTTGGCCACGCCTATATACCAGTGAGAGTGGTCCCCCACCTCTACATGTACCTCCCAGCTGTGCATTCCTGAGCTGAACCCCTCAGAGCCCAGAACTATGGCATAAATCATGTTCCTCTCTGGGTTGTCAGGGAGGTGCTGCTTTGAGCCCATCTGGCTCACACTGGTCAGATCATCAGACAGTGAGAGTGTGCCGTATGCAGTGTTGGGGTCCAAAATCACAGGAGTGTAATTGATCATCCCTTGCATCTTCTCCCAGACTCTGAACTGCAGGTTGCCCAGGTGTTTGGCCACGTCTATCAGTACTCCTGAGACCAGTTGTGGATCCAGCTGTGTGCACTGGGCTCTGGAGCTTGTCTGGATGTGTTTGTAGCTCTTGAGGAATGGTACGTCCTGTTTCTGCAGCTCATGTTTCACAGCAGTGATGCTTTCTGTGAAAGAGGTGATCTGGTCCTGAATGTTCTTCCTCTCTCTGACGATCATTTTTCCCTTTTCCTCCTCTTCCTCCCTCAGTGCAGCCAGTCTGGCCTTCTCTTCCTCTCTCAGGAACTGGTGAAGCTTCTCAAACTCCCCCCTGATCTGTCTCTCTGTGGATACCAGCTGCTTCTTGGAGTATTGCACTATTTCATTGTATGTCTCCTCTATGTTTTCACATTTGGTCCGCTTGTCCTGCAGTGACTCTATGTCAGATGTTAGTTTTTCCTTCAGGTCTTTCACGGCCTGTTGTAAGGGAATGACTGTGTGTTCGTGATCATCAGGAGACTCACAGATGTGACAAACAGCTCTCTGCTCCACCTCACAGAACCATTTAGGTTCATCTGTATGTTTACTACATACCAACTCTCTGTCTTCATCTGGAATACAGTATTTATCTTTTCTTCCTTCTTCAGTCCTGTCCCTGGACTCCCCTGCTTTCTCTCTCCCTGCATATTTGTCAGCTAGCTCTTTCAGTGAAAAGTTAATTCCTAATCCTTTAGAACATTTCCTCTTACAAACCGGACAGTTCTTGTTTTTATTCTGATCCCAGAAATTGTCCAGGCAGCTGGAACAGAAGCTGTGGTTGCAGCCCAGAGAAACAGGCTCTCTGAAAGTCTCTGAACAAATGTGACAGCACAGGAAACTATCCAAAAGAGCTTTCTCTGCCATTTTCTGTCACGGTGCTGGTAGTATCCTAGTGTCCTTCGATTTGCAAAGAAAACCTTCTGAAACAAGTCTCACTAGAAATTTCACTTTACCTTATATCATTTTAAAAAAGTTTTTTTTTAAGTCAGAGAAATAAATACATGTGATTATTCCAGTTTTTCAGGAGACTTCTGTCTAATGTTCACACCTTGAAATGGTGTCTCTTTTCTGTTCAGCCTTTCAATGTCAAACATTTACTTTCAATTTTACTTACTTTGATCATAGGTCAACATCCATTTATATCCCAGGAGCAGATTTTTATTGGTATACTATGGTCTTATATGGTTGCTAAACATTATGGTCTTCAGACCTTTGTCACGTTTTGATAAATCATTAGCTTCATCACGTCTTCTCCTGTTGCTCTCCTCCGGCGCTCTGATTCGCCGGTCTGCTGAGCCACCGGTCTGAGCGCACCACCTCGGCAACTTCATTAAGGGCGCTATTAGCAGGCCAAAACGGTAGGCTGGCTATGTACTGAACAAAAATATAAATGCAACATGGAAAGTGTTGGTCCCAAGTTTCATGAGCTGAAATAAAATATCACAGAAATCTTCCATATGCACAAAAAGCTTATTTCTCTCAAATTCTTTGCACAAATTTGTTTACATCCCTGTTAGTGAGTATTTCTCCTTTGCCAAGATAATCCATCCAGCTGACAGGTGACATATCAAGAAGCTGATTAAACAGCATGATCATTACACAGGTGCACCTTGTGCTGGGGACGATAAAAGGCCACTATAAAATGTGCAGATGTCTCAAGTTTTGAGGGAGCATGCAATTGGCATGCTGACTGCAGGAATGTCCATCATAACTGTTGCCAGATAATTTCTCTACCATAAGCCACCTCCAACGTCGTTTTAGAGAATTTGGCAGTACGTCCAACCGGCCTCACAACCGCAGACCACCTGTAACCATGCCAGCCCAGGACCTCCACATCTGGATTCTGAGGAGTATTTATGTTTGTAAGAAAGCGCTTTTGTGGGGAAAAAGTCATTCTGATTGGCTGGGCCTAACTCCCCCGTGGGTGGGCCTATACCCTCCCAGGCCCACTGATGGCTGCACCCCTGCCCAGTCATGTGAAATCCATAGATTAGGGCCTAAATAATTTATTTTAATTGACTGATTTCCTTATATGAACAAATATAGTCTATTGCTATATGTAGGCTAGTTGGCTATTGGGCTATATTGTGTAATGGAAGACAATTGTATTTTTATTTCTGATATTGTGTTACAAGTTATTTATTAGGCTCCGCACCTGGCCGGCAGCTTAGTGGTATTTTTTGAGAAATATAGCCTACTCTTATAAACCAGTAATGGTATGTGGTAGTCTATATGATGGCTGAGCGTATATACTAGACCAATCAGTAGTCTTGAGGGATTTCTGAGAAGTGCGCATGGAGTGGTCGAGGTGCTCAATGAATGTTTCACTAAGATCCTAAAGCTGAGTGAGGTGTTGGGTTGGATAGAGCTCTACAATAATATTAGGCCTATGATATGAATTATATGGAGGATGTACTGTTTCTGTGTGTTAATGTGTAGGTGTATGTTTGTTTTTATAAAACTATTGTTTTCCAAACCTTTCCTTGAGACATGAAAAAAAAAGATGGGAAGGAAATTGTGTTGGGGAGAGAGTTGAGATATTGGCTAGTCTGCTGAGGGTTGGGCTGGCTGGGCGGTCTGGCTGAAATTTGATATAGAGGATGTCTTAATAAAGACAATCAATAGTCTTTGTACTTTATTTGTAAGAGTTGTTCATTTGTTAGGCTATTGGTTAAAGGTGCAACACAATATTGATTATTGAATTATCATTGATCTAGTTCAGTCTTATCAATCACTTAAACATATTTAATAATGATTTCTTACCTAGCTTGATGACTGTGGGCATTTTTGCTTACTTTATGTTGTTCTAAATAGAAATGGCTAGAAGGGCCATGGGTCATATTAGATTGTGTAGAAATGCAGGAAATGAGCTTTCGACGTCCCCAAAAATGGGAGGACCTCCAGACCATTCACCAAGTTATGTCCCCCCCACTTCTAAAACCAAAGTTGCGCCCCTGACCATCATTATCATCACCACCATCCTCATCCCATACCAGTGGTAGTAGCAGAGGGTAGAATTGTCCTGCGGTGGTCTTGGTATCCATGGATAGCAGTTGTCTGCGGAGCTGTAGTCATTGGTGTACAGAATGGCGGAGGCCAGGTAGCAGAACCTCACTTTTCCTCAGGCTGTTGAGGTAGACTGGCACATTCTACAGGGGAATAGTCAAACACCCAAAATGTTCTTAGAAATAGTGGAATACAATGCAAAATATTTTAAGTGATATAAAATGCCATGTTCTCCTCCATTTCTTTGTGTTATTCCACTCACCTGTCCCGGGGATACAGAAGAGGAGATGCAGTGTTAGGCCAGAGCCTCTGTCACCTCCATCTGCAGTTCCTCTTTGAGGTCCTGTAGGTACTTCAACATTGCACAGTACACTGAACTGAAGACACAGTACACTGAACTGAAGACACCACACAAAAGCACGCACACACACGCGCACACACACACACACACACACACACACACACACACACACACACACACACACACACACACTCACACACACACACACACACACACAGAGAGAGACAAAGAGACAGAGAGATAAAGACACACAGGCCATCAGGAGGATACAATATGTACATTATACAGCAGTAGTCAGGCAGTATCCTACTGTATACAGAATACATTGCTTAATATACCCTCCCTTTGCAACCCTAAACAGGATGCATAAAGAACACCTGCAGTACCATTGTAAACCCACTAGAGGTCATTCTCACACTTATTAAAGCACAACTAACTGATCAGGGGGCAGATTTGTTTAAGATTGTAAAGCACTTTCGCTGCTGAAGTAACTCTCCAATGAGCAAACTGTTAGAAATCAGTTCCAATAGATTGGAAGAACACAATGGAATAGGTTTCTTTAGATAATATGAGACACTTTCAAACCTATAAATACAAGGTGCACTGTCTACATTAGTAATATCATATCACAATAATTTAACATAGACATACAGTGAGGGAAAAAAGTATTTGATCCCCTGCTGATTTTGTAAGTTTGCCCACTGACAAAGAAATGATCAGTCTATACTTTTAATGGTAGGTTTATTTGAACAGTGAGAGACAGAATAACAACAAAAAAACACATGTCAAAAATGTTATAAATTGACTTGCATTTTAATGAGGGAAATACGTATTTGACCCCCTCTCAATCAGAAAGATTTCTAGCTCCCAGGAGTCTTTTATACTGGTAACGAGCTGAGGTTAGGAGCACACTCTTAAAGGGAGTGTGCTAATCTCAGTTTGTTACCTGTATAAAATACACCTGTCCACAGACGCAATCAATCAATCAGATTCCAAACGCTCCACCATGGCCAAGACCAAAGAGCTCTCCAAGGATGTCAGGGACAAGATTGTAGACCTACACAAGGCTGAAATGGGCTACAAGACCATCGCCAAGCAGCTTGGTGAGAAGGTGACAACGATTATTCGCAAATGGAAGAAACACAAAATAACTGTCAATCTCCCTCGGCCTGGGGCTCCATGCAAGATCTCAACTCGTGGGGTTGCAATGATCATGAGAACGGTGAGGAATCAGCCCAGAACTACACGGGAGGATCTTGTCAATGATCTCAAGGCAGCTGGGACCATAGTCACCAAGAAAACAATTGGTAACACTCTACGCCATGAAGGACTGAAATCCTGCAACGCCCGCAAGGTCCCCCTGCTCAAGAAAGCACATATACAGGCCCGTCTGAAGTTTGCCAATGAACATCTGAATGATTCAGAGGAGAACTGGATGAAAGTGTTGTGGTCAGATGAGACCAAAATCGAGCTCTTTGGCATCAACTCAACTCGCCGTGTTTGGAGGAGGAGGAATGCTGCCTATGACCCCAAGAACACCATCCCCACCGTCAAATATGGAGGTGGAAACATTATGCTTTGGGGGTGTTTTTCTGCTAAGGGGACAGGACAACTTCACTGCATCAAAGGGACGACGGACGGGGCCATGTACTGTCAAATCTTGGGTGAGAACCTCCTTCCCTCAGCCAGGGCATTGAAAATGGGTCGTGGATGGGTATTCCAGCATGACAATGACCCAAAACACACGGCCAAGGCAACAAAGGAGTGGCTCAAGAAGAAGCACATTAAGGTCCTGGAGTGGCCTAGCCAGTCTCCAGACCTTAATCCCATAGAAAATCTGTGGAGGGAGCTGAAGGTTCGAGTTGCCAAATGTCAGCCTCGAAACCTTAATGACTTGGAGAAGATCTACAAAGAGGAGTGGGACAAAATCCCTCCTGAGATGTTTGCAAACCTGGTGGCCAACTACAAGAAACGTCTGACCTCTGTGATTACCAACAAGGGTTTTGCCACCAAGTACTAAGTCATGTTTTGCAGAGGGGTCAAATACTTATTTCCCTCATTAAAATGCAAATGAATTTATAACATTTTTGACATGCATTTTTCTGAATTTTTTTGTGGTTATTCTATCTCTCACTGTTCAAATAAACCTACCATTAAAATTATAGACTGATCATGTCTTTGTCAGTGGGCAAACGTACAAAATCAGCAGGGGATCAAATACTTTTTTCCCTCACTGTAGCTATGACTCTATTAACAAAAAGAACAATCACTTCATTTGCACAATCTACAATAGTTGCCCTTCTCAAGGACAGATTCAAGTACTAATCTGTTGATAAACATGATGAATATAACTAACACTCTATAAACATTGAAAGATTCATCAGAGCTTTCCAATAGGTGTGTTATTATGGACTGCAGCAATAGAGAGAGGATGTGTTGTGGTCTTTAAAACTCTTCTATCCCCCTCCATCCATCCATCCATCCATCCATCCATCCATCCATCCATCCATCCATCCATCCATCCATCCATCCATCCATCCATCCATCCATCCATCCAATGACTAGACCAACTGTACTGACAAGACTGAGCTAGTATATCTCTGTAGTATTTATTTCACTCTTTTCCTAGTCCATCTGTTTAAAACTTTATTCAATAATTTCACTGCAGTTGGATCTTTGTTTTGTTTTTCTCAGTTTGGGTTTATTTTGTAGAATATATTTAATGTATTTATTTATCTGATTATTGCTCTGTTTCCCAATGTGCTACATGTGTTTCTCTAACTTAAATGTGTCCTCCTGTTATTTTTGAACTATTCCTGTTGACAAGCGATATCCCAAGTATAAATACAGTAAAGTACACACACTAAAGGGTAAAACAATGATTGCAAATGGTATTTGTGATTTACAAGAATGCAGCTGAAACCCACCGTTCTCTTTATTCAGGGCAAGTCAAGTCATTCAAAAACACTTTTCTCTTTCTCCTTTATTCTTAATTTTTATTGACAAAAAAAACATCTGTTTTATTCAAATAAGAATGGTTAATCTGATACAGGGATTATCAAATAATATATCGAAATGTAATATTACTTTTTTTTCAGTCACAAGTGGACTAACAGTTTATACATCAGTCTCATACTAGTTTGATGATGATTTATGTTAAATAATGTCTGAATATTATTCAAATCGGAAGAGTCACATTTGATACAGAGTGATTAGCAAAGCATTTTGTCACGGTCGTCTATGTCGTCTAAGTATGACCAAGGCGCAGCGTGTCCAAGAAACATGACTTTATTAAACAAACGTTATCGAACTACAAAACAAAAGACGACTCAATGAAGTCCACGGTACACTGACCGAAACGGAACAAAAACCCACAATTCCCACAGGAAAACATTCAGATTAAATATGGCTCCCAATCAGAGATAACGAGCCGAACAGCTGACACTCGTTACCTCCGATTGGGAGTCATAGACCAAACTTAGAAATGAAGCCAACAGAAAAGCAAACATAGAAAATACACCCAAACCCAACATAACAAAATACACCCTGGCTCAAATACAAAAGTCCCGGAGCCAGAGTGTCACAGTACCCCCCCCTAAAGGTGCGAACTCCGGGCGCACCAGCATACAGTCTAGGGGAGGGTCTGGGTGGGCGTCTGTCCCCGGTGGCGGTTCTGGCCCTGGTCGTGGTCCCCACCCCACCTTAGTCACTATCTGCTTCCGTAGCCTCCTCCACATGACCACCCCCCCACTAAACCCCACTGGATTAAGGGGCGGCACCGGACTAAAGGGCAGCACCGGACTAAGGGGCAGCACCGGACTAAGGGGCAGTACCGGACTAAGGGGCAGCACCAGGATAAGGGGCAGCACCGGGCTAAGGGACAGCACCGGACTCAATGGCGGATCCTGGCTGGCTGGCTCTGGCGGATCCTGGCTGGACGGCTCATGGCTGGCTGAAGGATCTGGCTGCTCATGGCTGGCTGACGGATCTGGCTGCTCATGGCTGGCTGACGGATCTGGCTGCTCATGGCTGGCCGACGGATCTGGCTGCTCATGGCTGGCCGACGGATCTGGCTGCTCATGGCTGGCTGAAGGATCTGGCTGCTCATGGCTGGCTGACGGATCTGGCTGCTCATGGCTGGCTGACGGATCTGGCTGCTCATGGCTGGCCGACGGATCTGGCTGCTCATGGCTGGCCGACGGATCTGGCTGCTCATGGCAGGCTGACGGATCTGGCTGCTCATGGCTGGCGGAAGGCTCTGGCTGCTCATGGCAGGCTGACGGATCCTGTCTGGCGGAAGGCTCTGGCTGATCCTGTCTGGCGGAAGGCTCTGGCTGATCCTGTCTGGCGGAAGGCTCTGGCTGATCCTGTCTGGCAGAAGGCTCTGGCTGATCCTGTCTGGCGGAAGGCTCTGGCTGATCCTGTCTGGCGGAAGGCTCTGGCTGATCCTGTCTGGCGGAAGGCTCTAGCGGCTCCTGTCTGGCGGAAGGCTTTAGCGGCTCCGGTCTGGCGGACGGCTCTGAAGGCTCATGGCAGACGGGCGGCTTTGCAGGCTCAGTACAGACGGGCAGTTCATGCAGCGCTTGGCAGACGGACAGTTCAGACGGCGTTGGGCAGACAGGCAGTTCAGGCGCCGTTGGGCAGACGGGCAGTTCAGGCGCCGTTGGGCAGACGGGCAGTTCAGGCGCCGTTGGGCCGACGGGCAGTTCAGGCGCCGTTGGGCAGACGGGCAGTTCAGGCGCCGTTGGGCAGACGGGCAGTTCAGGCGCCGTTGGGCAGATGGCAGACTCTGGCCGGCCGAGACGCACTATAGGCCTGGTGCGTGGTGCCGGAACTGGTGGTCCCGGGCTGAGGACACGCATCTCAGGGCTAGTGCGGGGAGCAGCAACAGGACGCACAGGACTCTGGGGACACACAGGAGGCTTGGTGCGTGGTGTAGGCACTGGTGGTACACACGCACTCACACACACACACGCACTCACACAAACACACACACACACACCTCATTGTTATGACTTCACTGTCAGAGACACCTCTGATTGGCAGATCTGTATATCACGGTTGTCAGCATCCCCAGCCTTTCCATTAGAGAAGTAGGGATACAGTTTCTCTGTAAACATGTGTTTATGAGTGTAGATGTGTGTCATGTCTTCTTGGTCATAGAAGGACACCTCCCCTCTGTCATAGTCCAGCTGCACTCTGATCCTCTGGGGACTCCTCTCCAGGGAAAGAGTCTTACCTCCTGCATTATACTCATGATCCCTCAGCTGTATATCCCAGACTCCATACCCAGGGGTTACAAATGCCTTCCCCTTCCTTTTGATTGACTCCTCGGCCACACCTATATACCAGTGAGGGTGGTCCCCCACCTCCACCTCCCAGCTGTGCTTTCCTGAGCTGAACCCCTCAGAGCCCAGAACCTGGGCATGCTCTGTGTTCCTCTCTGGGTTGTCAGGGAAATGCTGCTTTTTGCCTAAATGTCTCACCCTGGTCAGACCATCAGACAGATATAGCCTACATTCAGCGGTGTTGGGGTCCAGAATCACAGGAGTGTACTTGATGATCCCTTGCATCTTCTCCCAGACTCTGAACTGCAGGTTGCCCAGGTGTTTGGCCACGTTTATCAATGCACCTGAGACCAGTTGTGGATCCAGCTGTGTGCACTGGGCATTAAGGCTTGTCTGGATGTGTTTGTAGCTCTTGAGAAATGGCACATCCTGTTTCTGCAGCTCATGTTTCACAGCAGTGATGCTTTGTGTGAGAGAAGTGATCTGGTCCTGAATGTTCTTAATCTCTCTGGTGATCATCTTCCCCTTTTCCTCCTCTTCCTCCCTCAGTGCAGCCAGTCTGGCCTTCTCTTCCTCTCTCAGGAACTGGTGAAGCATCTCAAACTCCCCCCTGATCTGTCTCTCTGTCGCTCCCAGCTGCTTCTTGGAGTATTGCACTATTTCATTGTATGTCTCCTCTATGTCTTCACATTTGGTCCGCTTGTTCTGCAGTGACTCTAAATCAGATGTTATTTTTTCCTTCAGGTCTTTCACTGCCTGTTGTAAGGGAATGACTGTGTGTCCGTGACCATCAGGAAACTCACATTCGTGACAAACAGCTCTCTGCTCCACCTCACAGAACCACTTAGGTTCATCTGTATGTTTACTACAAATGATCTCTCTGTCATCCTTTGGATCACTATCATTCCTCCGTTCCCTGGACTCCCCTGCTTTCTCTCTCCCTGCATGCGAGTCAGCTAGCTCTTTCAGTGAATAGTTAATTCCTAAGCCCTTAGAAGATTTCCTCTTACAAACCGGACAGTTCTTGTTTTTATTCTGATCCCAGAAATTGTCCAGGCAGCTGGAACAGAAGCTGTGGTTGCAGCCGAGAGAAACAGGCTCTCTGAAAGTCTCTGAACAAATATGACAGCACAGGAAACGATCTAGGAGTGATCTGTCTCCCATTTTCTCTGTCACGGTTCTGGTAGTATCCTAGTGTCCTTCGATTTGCAAAGAAAATCCTTCCTATGCAAGTCTCACTAGAAAATACACTTTACTTTATTTTACTTTTTTACTAAATAAAGTACGATAATAAATAGGATAAATAAATAAATGTGGCTATTCCAGTTGTTCAGGGGACTTCTTTCTGTAATGTTCACACCTCACACCCTGAAATGGCGTCTATGTTCTGTTAAGCCCTCTTTCAATGTCAAACATTAACTTTCGATTTTACTTACTTTGATGATAGGCCAGCATTCATATAAATCCCAGCAGCGGATTTGTATTAGTATATGGTCACACAGACCTTTGTCATGCTTTGATAAATCATTAGCTAAGAAATAATGCCAGTGAAACAACAGTTTGGGGGCATTACTTTGTAGTTTGAACCATATTGATAACAAACCTGCAAAACACTCTTAGCCTGGCAAGCCAAAACGGAATATCGTGCTGTTTCTCTATTGTTTCTCTATTGTTTAACTTCACTGATTCAGTTACATTCAGTGTGAATTACAGACTAAAATACTCTTACAAGCTTTGGCCAATGACAGTATGAGTCTCTAACTTGAAAGAGCTGTGTTCTGTCTGTGTTGTGTTTCGTGGTTTAAGTTTGTCATTTTTCAAAAATAATTATCATGCCAACACAAGTCCTCACTCCAACACATATAACTGCCTGTAATATAGCAGCAATAAACCTGCAGTCTGGACAAAGTCCCACATAATTGCCTCCAATTACGCTCGGTAATACCGTATGTATGTATGTATGTACAGTTGAAGTCGGCAGTTTACATACACAAAATACATTTAAACTCAGTTTTTCACAATTCCTGACATTTAATCCTAGTAAAAATTCCCTGTCTTAGGTCAGTTTGGATCACCACTTTATTTTAAGAATGTGAAATGTCAGAATAATAGTAGAGAGAATTATTTACTTCAGCTTTTATTTATTTCATCACATTCCCAGTGGGTCAGAAGTTTACATACACTCAATTAGTATTTGGTAGCATTGCCTTTAAATTGTTTAACTTGGGTCAAATGTTTCAGGTAACCCTCCACAAGCTTCCCACAATAAGTTGGGTGAATTTTGGCCCATTCCTCCTGACAGAGCTGGTGTAACTGAGTCAGGTTTGAAGGCCTCCTTGCTCGCACACACTTCTTCAGTTCTGCCCACACATTTTCTATAGGATTGTGGTCAGGGCTTTGTGATGGCCACTCCAATACCCTGACTTTGTTATCCTTAAGCCATTTTGCCACAACTTTGGAAGTATGCTTGGGGTCATTGTCCATTTGGAAGACCCATTTGCGACCAAGCTTTAACTTCCTGACTGATGTCTTGAGATGTTGCTTCAATATATCCACATAATTTTCCTTCCTCATGATGCCATCTATTTTGTGAAATGCACCAGTCCCTCCTGCTGCAAAGCACACCCACAGCATGATGTTGCCACCCCAGTGCTTCACGGTTGGGATGGTGTTCTTCGGCTTGCAAGAACCCCCTTTTTCCTCCAAACATAACGATAGTCATTATGGCCAAACAGTTCTATTTTTGTTTCATCAGACCAGAGGACATTTCTCCAGAAAGTACGATCTTTGTCCCCATGTGCAGTTGCAAACCGTAGTCTGGCTTTTTTATGGCGGTTTTGGAGCAGTGGCTTCTTCCTTGCTGAGCGGTCTTTCGGGTTATGTCGATATAGGACTTGTTTTACTGTGGATATTGATACTTTTGTACCTGTTTCCTCCAGCATCTTCACAAGGTCCTTTGCAGTTGTTCTGGGATTGATTTGCACTTTTTGCACCAAAGTACGTTCATCTCTAGAAGACAGAACGCGTCTCCTTCCTGAGCGGTATGACGGCTGTGTGGTCCCATGGTGTCACGATCGTCTAATGAGGGAGACCAAAGCGCAGCGCGTTGAGCGAACATGACTTTATAAAATTAAAGTACTCACTGAAAAAACAACAAACAACGACGAATCGTGAAGTCCTCAGTTACAATGACTGACAAGGAACAAAAACCCACAACACTAAGGTGAACACTGACAGTTTAAATATGGCTCCCAATCAGAGATAACGAGCCGACAGCTGACACTCGTTACCACTGATTGGGAGTCACACAACCAAACAAGGAAACACAACCAAAATGAACACACCCTGGCTCAAAATACACAGTCCCGGAGCCAGAGCGTGACAGTACCCCCCCCTAAAGGCGCGGACTCCGACCGCACCTACACCCCAAATAGGGAAGGGCTGGGTGGGTATTGCTCCTCGGAGGCGGCTCCGGCTCCGGGCTTGACCACCACCCTACTACAATCCCCCCGTAGTGCCCCCAGTCCGATCTGACCCAGTTAGCTGGATCAGGACTGCCGACGCGCACCCCTGGCTTGGCGCGTGAGGCAGGAATGGACCGGACCTGGCCGACGATACGCACCCTTTGCATGGTGCGTGGAGCCGGAACAGGCTGAAGACTCGCATCCCTGGCTTGGTGCGAGTAGCAGGAATGGGCTGAATCCGGCTGACGACTCGCACCCTTGGCTTGGTGCGAGTAGCAGGAATGGGCTGAATCCGGCTGACGACTCGCACCCTTGGCTTGGTGCGAGTAGCAGGAATGGGCTGAATCCGGCTGACGACTCGCACCCTTGACTTGGTGCGAGTGGCAGGAACAGGCTGAATCCGGCTGACGACTCGCACCCTTGTCTTGGTGCGGGGAGCAGGACTGAGCCGGACCGGGCTGACGACGCCCACCACTGACCTGGTGCGGGGAGCTTGGATGGGCCGGACTGGGCTGGCGACGCGCACCACAGACTTGGTGCGGAGAGCAGGAACGGGCCGGACAGGGCTGACGAAACGCACCATAGACTTGGTGCGGAGAGCAGGCACGGGCCTGACAGGGCTGGCGACGCGCACCACAGACTTGGCGCGGAGAGCAGGAACGGGCCGGACAGGGCTGACGACGCACACCACTGGCTTGGTGCGGGGAGCTTGGATGGGCCGGACTGTACTGGGGACACACACCACTGGCCCTACACCGGGATCTGGAACGGGCCGGACCGGACTGGCAACACACGCCAGTACCTCTCGCCGTGCCTCTACTTCCTCCATCCCCTCTTCGACCAGTGGCCCCCGTAACCCGGCGGCCTCCTCCGGCAACCCACTGGACCGCTCTATCGCGGCCTCCTGCTGGTCCGACGTCGTGAGCCCCCCCCTAAAAATTTTCTGGGGTTCTCTCCTCTTCGTGGACCAGGCCTCCATCGTTCTCGCCAGACTATCACCCCACTGCTCCAACGTCCAACCTCTCTCCTCTTCTCTTGGCTTGGCCCAGTCGAGACTCCTACTCAACTGCTCCCAAGTCCATCCTCTCTCTTCTTCATGCTGCTTGATCTGGTTAAGGTGGGTTTTTCTGTCAGGGCGTGCTGTAGGTGCAATGGTGGAATCAAACGCAGGACTCAGAACGATATTCCAATCACTTGTATTACTGCCCATACATAGGCAAAAAGGACAACTTGGCCCGAAGGCGAAAATTACGCACAACGGCGAAAAGAAACAGCGCACAAACAGGTGCGACAAAATGTAACCGCGCACAAACAGGTGCGACAAAATGTAACCGCGCACAAACAGGTGCGATAATACTCCAGCGCAGTGGAGAGAAGCTCAACCGAGCAATACACACAACTGACGGAAAATAATTACACACAACACTAGACAAACACAACGAGAAACTTATAGGACACTAATTACGCCAAAACAGAAACAGGTGTGGAAACAAACAGACAAAAGCAAACGAACATGAAACATACAGCGGTGGCAGCTAGAATTCCGGAGACGACGAACGCCGAAACCTGCCCGAACAAGGGAGAGAGGCAGCCTCGGCCGAAACCGTGACACATGGTGTTTATATTTGCGTACTATTGTTTGTAGAGATGAACGTGGTACCTTCAGGCTTTTGGAAATTGCTCCCAAGGATGACCAGACTTGTGGAGGTCTACAATTTTTTGCTGAGGTCTTGGCTGATTTCTTTTGATTTTCCCATGATGTCAAGCAAAGAGGCACTGCGTTTGAAGGTAGGCCTTGAAATACATCCACAGGTACACTTCCAATTGACTCAAATGATATCAATTAGCCTATCAGAAGCTTCTAAAGCCATGACATAATTTTCTGGAATTTTCCAAGCTGTTTAAAGGCACACTAAACTTAGTGTATGTAAACTTCTGACCCACTGGAATTGTGATACAGTGAATTATAAGTGAAATAATCTGTCTGTAAACAATTGTTGGAAAAATTACTTGTGTCATGCACAAAGGAGATGTCCTAACCAACTTGCCAAAACTATAGTTTGTTACCAAGAAATGTGTGCAGTGGTTGAAAAACAAGTTTTAATGACTCCAACCTAAGTGTATGTAAACTTCCGACTTCAACTGTACATTATTTTACTGATCTAGGGATATAATTATTGTTTGGATAACCTTATTTACTATTATGTATTAATTTTTACCTTACATTTTTTCACTCTTTATGCGATGCGCAATGCAGAGAACACCGGAAGAAGAATTATCATTTAATTACCACAGTGAATGATTGTAATGTTTGTTTATGTGTCAATTAATCCCATAAGGGTTGGGTTGCCAAATGGCGATTTGACACAAAACATTTTTTTTATTCATTCATTTATTCATTCATTCATTCACCAGTATCCTATGAGTAATAACAATATATCAGACAGGACTTTTGGTGTTATCTTTTCTATTAACTAGCATCTTAGCTGGCATTTCTTTGCATGATAGTCAACAGGACACTAGTTTTGGTGTTAACCCTGATTTTTTATTGTTGTTTACTAAACCTTTCTCAATCTATCTTCTGAGCGTTTTAAGTGTATACAACTACTTTTCTCTTGAGATGATATATCGAAGATAGATGATTATGATAAGGCTGACTATGATGATGATTATGGTAAAGATTATATGACGATGATGATG